ATTTGTCACATGAAAATTCCGATCGTCTTGTCCGTCATCGGTAAATATCTGACAAATTTAAACAATGTTTGGGCTTGAAAACTCATTTAACAGAGACTGCCCCAGGTGTTGTAAATGTACTTACTTTTTCAGGTAAAAATCAGTTTTTGGTAACAAAGCTACTAGATAGTAGCTTGTCGGTCTATATACGTACATTACAATCATTATCAACAAATTCTTTTTAGATATAAATTTTGAAAATTTCTAGATGGTAATTTAATTAAAGTGTTGTAAGATGGCTTGGTCATTAAAACGTTTCGAACCATACAAAACAGACTGTCCTTCAAAACGTCTAATTCAACCGGACGGCAACCAAAATTTTCGCACTCTTTATAAATCGGATTTGTTTAATCAGTCCCGTGAAGTGATGCCTGGCGATAACGGCACTAGACGCAGTCGGTTTGTTTAATGACTTTCTCTTTAATTTTGATAAACAATAACAAGGTACATAATTACCAGGGCATTTAAAATGACACATACAACTTGAATTGTGTTTTACTTGCACACTGACCGAAACGATAATTTGCCGATAAATTGTTTTCAGTCGCCGTTTTATATTTTTCTTACATGTGAACAAATTGACATTTTGCTAGCAAATTGTTTTTTTCAAACCCCCAAGCGGCGCGAAGCGCCGTCGGGGTTTGATCTATACACACTTTGTCCATTTCCGGTGCTTCTCCATGCGTGAAAGCCTTCTGGGAAATTGAGGCCGCATACTGTCTACAAAAATATGAAGGTATCAGTATTTAGTACTGTTTTCTAGTGAAATATCATGAATTCTCCATCTGATAAACACATATGTTTAATGCAGTCAAGATAAACGAAATATTATATATTCGCAAGTAAAATCGTCACTCTTAGTATGGTCAAATATGAACGGTACATTATATTCTCTGCGTAGATTTTTCAGTTTCAAGTTTAGATGAAGTGACGGCAGAATAAGTGGTTGTGTTGTCAACCTTTGCAGCATACATTATTGTTTTTACATATCTGCACAATTAATAACATTCTTGTCTGGAAATCTTACCAGATAATACTAGCAAACGGCAAAATTGAAATGAAAACCCATTCAAAATGGCGCTCTGTATTGTTGTCAAGCGTGACGTCATTATAACTTGGCGTCAAAAACTACGTTACACATTCCCGCGCTTTTCCGATGAAGCAATATTTGCGCCTCATGACATGAAAAAATGTAAGAAATAGAAAATTTCATGGTTTTCCCGTTCAATACGATATATTTATTTCATTTGTATAAAACGAATGTGATAACAGCCAAAAAACCAACGTTGTGGCAAAATGTGTCTTCGTCTCGAGAAATAACAACTATTATTCAAAGGGGCGGGGGGCTACGATTGACGCTTTAACCTAGAAGACGGTTTATCCAAAATAGTCAAATAGGTACATCGTCAAAAGAAATGTCCCGGCTTCTCTCTCTCAGACGATGGTGTTATTACCAAATCGTTGACATTTAATGTTAGGCCTAAACGTGCATTTGAAACTGTACATTTGCGTGCTGTGGGACAATTATTAAGTGACAAAAGTGCAAAATGTAAAGATATTGAGCGTGAACGGAATATTCTGAACGAAAAAATAATGCCATTTACAAATTATATATTTATAAATAAATAGATTCAAGTATGCAGGATCTGTTCCCTCGTGGTTGATTGACTATCAGTAAGTTATTTTCATAAAAAAAGGTTTGGTGTCCAGCGATTTGCTGCATTTTCTTGTTTTGTCTGACAATTATCAACTGATGATATTGAGGCAAATGTCAACAAAAAAATTCACATATGATGATAACTACCACCTGATATTGTGCATCCAGGTAATATCTTTTTCATTCTGGCCCTTTTTACGGAGTTATTGCCCTTTTCGGAATAATAGTTTTTTGTTGAAAAGTGCTTGTCCAGACAACTCCTCCAAGACTTTGCGGCCAATTTTAACGGCAGTTTTCAGATATGATAACTACCCCCTGATGTTATGCATTCAGGTATTTTTTTTCAACCTTTTTAATAGAGTTATGGCCCTTTGTTGTAAAATTTCCCATATGGTAACTGCCCCCTGTATTGTGCATCCGAGTATTACTTTTTCATTACGACCCTTTTAAAAGAGTTATGGTCCTTTGTTGAAAAATCCCTTTGTCTGCCTCCTAAACGACTGGTCCAAAAGGGGAAATAGAGGTAAAACCTTTAAAATCCTTCTTCTACCATAGGTATTAAGGGATTTATCCTTATTTAGTCTGGAGCATTCTTGGGCCAAGGGCACTCAATTTTATATAAACGGGCTGTGTGGCACCCCTAAGGGGCAGAGGGGTGGGTTCGAATACAGGAAATAGAGGTAAGCCTTCTACCAAAGGGATTAATGGATTTCATCCCAATTTGGTTATGAACATCCTTAGGCCAAAGGCATTCAGTTTTGTACAAACGGTAGGTGTGGGCCCCCTTGGGACAGAGGAGAATGGCCAAATAGGGGAAATAGAGGTTAAACTTTTAAAATCCTTCTACTAGCGAAGGGAATAAGGGAGTTTATCCTAATTTAGTCTGAAGTATCTATCCTGTGGCCAAGGGGTATCGATTTTGTTAAAACGGTGGGTGTGCCCCCCGCCCCCTCTCTCTCTAGGGACAGAGGAGAGGGGCCTAAAAGGGGAAATAGAGGTAAACCTTTAAAATTCTTCGTCTACCATAAGGATTCAAAGATTTATCTCAATTTTGTCTCCATCAAGTTGTTTAGTAGTAACTGTTACTGTTAGGGTGTATTCATTAAAACAAGATGACCACCAGACCTCCATTTTGGATTTTGACATTTGAAGTTTGTTTTTGCGATATCTCCAGAAATACTGGATGGACTTTTTTGAAATTTCATATGTACATACAGGAAATATCATGGAATTCTATATCTTTACCTCATATCAAGTACTTGAAACATATTCAGGTGAGCGATACAGGCCCTCTGGGTCACTTGTTTAGGAGTTATGGGCCTTTGTTAAAAATCTTTGACTTGACATCTCTTTCTTATATACCAGGACGATTGCGGCGCAAAACTTGTTCATCTAGGTTAACAAGATTTGGGTTGCAAGTAGGTTTTGGCATTAGGAGGGAGTACAGGAAAAATGTCAGTGACTTATATACTTAAATAGGTGTACAGCTAAGTCAATAAAGAAATAATTACTGGTGGGAGACTATGGATTGCTTTGCAATGCTTTGCCTTAGTAAGCATTTGGCTTTCAGTTCTGGTTTAGAATTCAGCATCCTTGGACCAAGGGGACTGAAGTTTTTATAAACGGTGGGCGTGCCCCCCCCCCCCCCTCGCCCTGGGGGCAGAGGAGCGGGGCCCAATATGGGAAATGGAGGTTACATTTTTTAAAATCCTTCTTCTAAAGGGGTTTAATTCTAATTCTGTCTGGAGCATCTTTGTGTCAACGGGCCTCTTTTTTTTATATATATAATTGGTGGTTGATGCAGAAGGGTGGGTTTAAATAGGGGAAAGAGATGTAAACCTTTAAAATCCCTTTGTTAACATAGGGATGAAGCGATTTCATCCCAATATGGTGTAAAGCATCCTTAGGCCAATGGGACTCAATTAATTTTGTATAAATTGTGAGTGTGGCCCCCCTTGGGACAGAAGAGAGGGGCCTAATAGGGGAAATAGAGGTTAAACTTTTAAAATCCTTTTTCTAACGTAGAGACAAAGGAATTTTAATCTTATTCAGGCTGGAGCATCCTTGGGCCAAGGGTACTCATTCTTTTATAAACGTTGGGTGTGCCCCCCCCCCCCCCCCCCCCCCCCCCNTAGGGTCCAAATAGGGGAAATAGATGAAACATTTAAAATCCTTTTTCTATTATAGGGATTAGTCGATTTCATCCCAATATGGTCTAAAGCCACCTTAGGCCAAGGGGATTCAATTTTGTATAAATGGTGTGTGTGACCCCCTCGGGGCAGAGGAAAGGGGCCCAATAGGGGAAATAGAGGTTAAACTTTTAAAATCTTTCTTCTAGCGTGGGGAAAAAATGGATTTTAATCTTATTCAGTCAGGAACATCCTTGGGCTAAGGGCACTCAATTTTGTATAAACGGTGGGTGTGGCCGCCTTGGGGCAGAAGGGTGGGTCCAAATATGGGAAATAGAGGTAAACCTTTAAAATTCTTCTTCCAACATAGGGATTCAAAGATGTTATCACAATTTGGTTTGGATTATCCTTAGGCTAAAGGCACTCTATTATTTTTACAAACGGTACATGTGGTCCCCTAGGGGCAAAGGAGAGGGCCCCATAAGGGAAATAAACATCCTTCTTCTATCATGGAGATAAAGGGATTTTATCCTTATTTGGTCTGGAGCATCCTTGGGCAAAGGGGACTCGATTTTGTATAAACGGTGGATGCCAGTGGCCCCTCCGGGTGCAGAGGGGCGGGGCTCAAAAGGGGAATTCGAGGTTTTAGTCTTCAAAATCCTTCTTCCTCTGTACTATTGAAGGAATTTTATCCAAATTTGGCGCCTGGAGCATTCTGTGGCAAAGGGGAGTATAGTCTGTATAAACGTAGGGTGTGGCCCCTCTGGGTGCAGATTTTCGGGGCCAAATAGGGGAATTGGAGGTTTAAATTTTCCAAGTCCTTCTTCTTCTTGGAGGGATTTTATCCAAATTTGGCCAGGAGCATCCTTGGCAAAATGGACTAAATTTTGTACAAACAGTAAGGGGATTGCCCCTCTATATCTTGGTGCAGAGGGTCGGGGCTCAAAAGAGGAATTCGAGGTTTAAACCATCGGAGGGAATTTATGTAATAAGAATAATTTTCCATAGTTGCTTTATTAACCAGGTGAGTGATGCAGGCCTACTGGGCCTCTTGTTTCTTGTGTCTTAATGTGAAAATTTTGTTGAAATATTTTATTTTCAACATTTTTTTCTATTTACATTTATTTTACCTTTACCCTTTGGTGTGTTAATTTCAAGAATTTTATATATTACAGATGTGAACTTTTCTATCCTGAGTATGGCCCAGGCAGCCGTCAAAGAAGCTCCAGTAAGCATATTGTTTCTTAGAATTATTCCTTTGTAAACATTTTTTCAATGGATTCCATTATCGTTTTTTAGATTCGTTTATCTTCTCTAGATCAGTGTTTTTCTTTCTCTTTTGATTAACACAATGTACGGGAGAAAGGATACCTGTACGTCGTATAGTTCGGATGAATATGTTTGTTAAGCTTTGACAAAGATAAAAAGTTATTTGAAATGTTGTTTAGCATTTTCGTTGCCATACTTTTGTATTTTAATAGAAGTCAGTAATATGGACACATTCAACATTTTCAATTCAATTTGATTACTGATTATACAATAAACGATATGACCATAATGTAGAAATCAAAATGTTGCATTGCCGAACGGCGAAACAGATATTTACGAGTCTATATTGATTACATAAATTATAAAAAAAAAAAAAAAAAATCACCAGTAAATTCCAGTAGAAATACAGCGTTTATGCGTAATGACTATGGCGTGTCAAACGTGCTATATTCAATAATTTTATATTTAGTTTTAATATTTTAGATTTGTATTCAAAAATTGTAAACATATGTGCAATATTTTATATTTGTATTCATTAATTGTAAATATATGTGCAATAACAAAAATATTTTTTCAATAAAATATATATATATATATATATATGCAATAAAAAATATTTATGTTTAATAAAAAAATACATATGTGCAATAAAATATATATTTGTTCGAAAAATAAATATTTATTCGATTAATTTTTTTTTCAATAAAAAAATATTTGCATTCAATAAAAAATATATGGGTGCAATGAAAATAGATTTGTTCGATAGTTTGCAGTCTGGGATAGCATCGTTTGACCTCAATGGCAGCTTGCTGTAACGGCGTGTCTGATTGGACGGTGGGAAAACGAAAGTACAATATCGATCCTAAAACGCTTCATTTGTAAACACTTCGAACTGAACTATCCAACCGCTTTTTGAACTTGCATGGTAATCATAAAGAGCACTTGGACCGTCCAGGTGAATTCACATGTATCGCAATGAAGACTCAGTCCTGAACAAATATAAACTTCAAAATCGGTTCCTAAATATATTTTTTCATCGTGTCCGGATGGGAGTGTCCAGGTCTTTCAACAGTCCAAATATTAAAGATTCGGTATGTTACAAGATATTTCATAACTGTCTGAGTTGAAAAAAAATATAATTTTCCCCTTTTTATACCTTCTGCTGTCATAATTTTTGAAGGCTTTAGGACCTAACTGTGTTGGAGACTATGGTGACGTCGTTTACGTCACATCTTGTGTATTATGACGTCATATGGCTTTTTCGTCACAGGGTGCATGGCGTTAGCTTGATAGATGTTTATCACAAAATGATTACTGGCCAAGTATCATCACCCAAGTACATAATATTTCCGGGGTAAACATTATTATTTTTTTCAACAATTACGACACAAGTAATTCATATTAAATTAATCACTCTTGTCAGCCCGGGTGTTATTTGCGTGGGGTGGGGGTGGGGTGTCTTAATATGGAATAAAACTTGAGAAACCAGGAGAAACACCAAGAATCGAGGAATCGAACCCCAGCCGCCTTGGTGAAAGGTGATTGTGTTATCCACTGCGCCACCTCACCAACAAAGAACTATTGGTTATTCAAAAGTTTAAACATATTTCATCCAATAAAGGGTATACGCAGGCCCATACATCCGCCCAGAATATCAGTCTCCTGAACTAATGCTGAATGCAATTATTGTCATGGCAGATTTAAATCACCTTCTAGCTTCGAGCTAGAGGGAATTTCCCTTTAGCTCAGTTGTAGAGCGTCCGACTAGGAACCTGGAGAGTGAGGGTTCATCCCCGGTGGAAGCATACTATTCTCTCTCCTGTTACATATATATAAGCGCGAGTTCAGTGTCTCTGTCCACATGGGCTCGTTAGGCTCGTTAGGTTTCGATGTGACCCGTATCAGTATAGTATGTGTATGTTAGACATTTTTAACGAATCCCTGTGGTCTATCAAAGAACTATAGTTACCTATACACAGCTATCTGCTTCTCAAATAACAGAAGGGATGGTTCTACTATACTTTCTGTTAATTTAAGAGGCAGATAATGATATCATTAACTAAATACTACCGTTGCATTAAGTAATGAATTATCTATTTACTTATTATCATATAGATTAGCGGTGAAAAAGGCTCAGCGGATTGATAATTATTTCAAATATGGCGCCGTTCACAATTCGGCGAGATAACAGTCCACTGACAACCAATGCCTGGATCATTTACCATTTAGATACATGGGATATATTTGGGATCCTATATGTCAAATTATACAACAAAAGAATGCTGACAAATTTCTATTTCCATTGATGCACATTCAAATTTCTTTAGCGGTAACGTCAAAAATGGCGGCTTCGTTCTGACCGCGTCAATTCATGAGCAGTGTGTTAATGCTCGTACATGACGACCTTTGCAAGTGAATAGAAAAGATCGAAAGGCTTCTCACATTGCTAAATTTGAAATTAAAAAACTAAAAAAGGAAAATAAAACCAGTGTTGTTCACTGCATATTTTCTAAATTTACTCATATATCTATGCAGATTCACTGGAACTATATTGTCCTAGCAACCACGGCTACCGTAGTTACCATCGTGGCAACCCGCTTCGATTTTTTTTCTTCTGCGTAATGTATTATTTAAACATTTTTTTGAACGTAAATATAAGGATTGATCTTCATTTTGACGGCGTATACGGTAGTATGAACGCAAGTGGCAACGAACATATTCTTAATGGAGAGCGAACGCGCACCATAGAATACGTTCGTTGCCAATTGCGTTCATACTACCGTATACGCCGTCAAAATGAGGGTCAATCCTAAAATATTGCACATATATTTACAATGATTGAATACAAATATAAATTATTGCACATATATTCACAATTATTGAAAACAAATATAAAATTTCAAACAAAAATATAAAGTTATTGAATTTTGCAACGTTTGACACGCCGTAAATGACAAGATTAGTGGAGATATAAAAAAAATGTGATATTTTTTGTTTGTTCCAGTTTCAAAACAGCTTAAGACGAATGCTTAATGACGATGATAAAAACTGCCAACTCCTTGTTGCAGCATATAAAGAGGCCGCAACATGTGCGCAAAAGAACATATTAGTAGAAGATCATGTCCTTGAATTTGATCCAAACTTCTTTAACAAAGTTGAGAAAGGCATCGCTGATTTGAATAAAGTCGACCGCCAAATTCTCGTTATTGGTAAGTTTTGTTTTGATTGTAGACATACACTTTAGAAGTATTCATTTGTTTTTGATTAGGGTTTTTTGGAAAATAAAGAAACATATTTAAAATTATGGCAGATGCCACATGTTGTGTAGGAAACACTCCAGCAGCACGTGGTGTCATCAGGATGAAGTGGATTTTTCTGAAATTTTCCCTTTTGTTTTAGTGTTCCTGTTTCCTTTGTCTTTCAATTGTCTTTGAATTAAATTTTGATTCTTTCCATTTCGTTGATGATTTGATATCGTTTTCTGAAAAATTTCATAGACATTTAGAAAATTCTTCATTTTCGTGTTCAAGTTATTTTCATGATGGTATATGAATATGATACAACAATAGGATACTAGGATACATCTGCGTTTAGAAGTAACACATCCTCCTCCCCCCTCATGCACGGTGGTCGTCTTTCCTGTTGAATATTTGTATTAAATTGAAATGATACGTAAAACAGGCATTGTACTTCAGTCTCATAATTCAATCAAAGATGTATAAAAAGTATTAGAATTATTTACAATAATGTTTGTCTGGACTTATCTTGATATTTCAGAGTTATTATTCTCCCCGAGTGTTGGTTGAGATACATCTAATTTATACATATAATGTACCTTCTACATGCACTGATTTCGTGGGAGAAACTAGATACGTCGGCAAAGGACGTCACTACGTCCACGGTGAGGGACCCAAGTTTTCTCGGGCTGGAAGGGGGAAGGGGCATTTATTTTGAGAGATGATGTTAACCACTAAAACATATAATATTACTCTTTACAAACCGGGACAGATCCAAACAAACCAACTGTAGCAAATTCACGGGTCCCTGTGCCTGAAACCACAGGTAGTAACCTCGTGGTCTTAACCTTCGAAATAGCAATAGCCGCAGGTAACAGGAATAGCCACATGTTAAACAATAATTAAGGCAAGGCCAGGTAAAAGCTAAGACCAGATGATAGTTTAGATTAATCCACTTTGTGCAATTCACTATTCAAGGTGACGGTCAAGACAAAAGCCATAAATACTAACCACAATTATCAAACTATACCACTAAAGAGAATATCATAAGAATTATTTAAAAAACAACAACTTTACTTTATTTACTCTATATAAAATCGAATATATCCCCACTTTTGCCTGAATGTGTTTTAGTCCGGTGCGTTAGTCTTGGAACTAAAACACACATTCTGAACTAAAACACACCTACACTCGGGTGTCTCCGCCGAGCCAATCAGACGAGAGGTGGGCGCAGCTTGTTACCGAACTCGGAAGCGACGCACGAGGTGAGCGGAGCTTGCTAGCGAACCCGCCTCCTACTGTGCAGACGACACTTATATATTTCAATTCACTAAAGTTACACTTTGCATTTGGCTCCATTGCCATCAAAACGGTAGTTGGGACGTGAAGCTATACAGCTTATGGTTTACAAATATTTTCTAATTTAATTTTCTCGGTTAAAGTATGGGGTTGAGGGATAAAGCATGTTTCTGGTGTCCCGAGGCCATGCCTATATCCATCGGCTTTTGGTGTCCCGAAACCATGCCTATTTCCCTCGGCTTCGCCTCTGGAAATAGACCTGGTCTCGGGACACAAGAAACTTGCTATATCCCTCAACCCCATACTTTAACTGTATTTTCCTGTTTGACATGTAACCACAAAAGGCCGTTTAAAAAACCCCGTTATAACCCAAACAGAATTAGTTTGCAGCTTTTCAGTTGGATTTGTAAGATACTACAGGAATAATATTCTATACAAACTAATCACGTTCACTTGTTCTTCTGAATATCCGAAATGCCTAAAGTCATGATATTTGGCCAGTAGCATCCTATGGCGAGCCCAATTAAGTTTGTTAGAGAAAAAGACCTTGACCTAATGTCAGGGTCTCAGGGAATAATAAGGCCTGAACCTTCGAACGTCTTCTTTTAAAGATCCAAAAGGTCTGATGTCATGTTATTTTGCCAGTACTATCCGACAAAGTTTGCAAATGAAAATGACGATGGCTTACTTTCCAGGTAAGGTCTAAACCTTCGAACGTTTTGCTCTGAAGATCTGAAAGGGCTAGAGTCATGATATTTTGCCAGAAGCATCCAATGATAGAGCACGACAAAACCTGCGAATGAAATTGACCTTTCCCTACTTTCAAGGTCACAGGGGTCAAAATGGTCAAAACATTCAAACGACTTCTTCTGAAGATCTGAAAGGCCTTTATCATGAAAACAAAATATCATGATATCTGGCCAGTATCATCCTATGATGGAGCCCGACAAAGTCGTGGGATGAAAATGACCTTGACCTACTTTCAAGGTCACATGGGTCAAATAGATATAAACCTTCGAACGACTTCTTCTGAAGATCCGAAAGGCCTGAAGTCATGATGTTTGGCAAGTAGCATCCTATGATTGACTCCAACAAAGTTTGGAAATGAAAAAAACGTTTGCCTGCTTTCACGGTTACAGGGGTAAAATAGGCCAAAACCTTCAAACGACTTCTTCTGAAGATCCGTAATGCCTAGAGTCGTGATATGTGGCCAGTAGCATCCTATGGCGGAGCCTAACTAAGTTTGGTAAAGAAAATGACCTTGACATATTTACAGGGTCACAGGTGTCAATAAGGTCTAAAACTTCGAACGTCTTCTTTTGAAGATCCGAAAGGGCTTAAGTCATGATATTTTTCCAGTACTATCCGACAAAGTTTGCAAATGAAAATGACGTTGGGCTACTTTCCAGGTAAGGTCTAAACCTTCGAACGTTTTGCTCTGAAGATCTGAAAGGGCTAGAGTCATGATATTTTGCAAGAAGCATCCAATGATAGAGCTCGACAAAATCTGCGAATGAAATTGACCTTTCCCTACTTTCAAGGTCACAGTTGTCAAATATGTCAAAACATTCAACCGACTTCTTCTGAAGATCTGAAAGGCCTTTATCATGAAAACAAAATATCATGATATCTGGCCAGTTTCATCCCACGATGGAGCCCGACAAAGTCGTGGGATGAAAATGACCTTGACCTACTTTCAAGGTCACATGGGTCAAATAGATATAAACCTTCGAACGACTTCTTCTGAAGATCCGAAAGGCCTGAAGTCATGATGTTTGGCCAGTAGCATCCTATGGTGGAGCCCAACTAAGTTTGGAAATGAAAAAACGTTTGCCTACTTTCACGGTTACAGGGGTAAAATAGGCCAAACCTTCAAACGACTTCTTCTGAAGATCCGTAATGCCTGAAGTCATGATATTTGGCCAGTAGCATCCTATGGTGGATCCCTACTAAGTTTGGTAAAGAAAATGACCTTGACATATTTACAGGGTCACAGGGGTCAATAAGGTCTAAAACTTCGAACGTCTTCTTTTGAAGATCCGAAAGGGCTAAAGTCATGATATTTTGCCAGTACTATCCTATGATGGAGCCCGACTAAGTTTGCGAAATAAGCTGACCTTGTCCTACTTTTAAGGGCACATAGGACAAATAGGTCAAAACGTTCAAACGACTTCTTCTGAAGATCTGAAAGGCCTGAAGTCATGATGTTTGGCAAGTAGCATCCTATGATTGACTCCAACAAAGTTTGGAAATGAAAAAAACGTTTGCCTGCTTTCACGGTTACAGGGGTAAAATAGGCCAAAACCTTCAAACGACTTCTTCTGAAGATCCGTAATGCCTAGAGTCGTGATATTTGGCCAGTAGCATCCTATGGCGGAGCCCAACTAAGTTTGGTAAAGAAAATGACCTTGACATATTTACAGGGTCACAGGTGTCAATAAGGTCTAAAACTTCGAACGTCTTCTTTTGAAGATCCGAAAGGGCTTAAGTCATGATATTTTGCCAGTACTATCCGACTAAGTTTGCAAATGAAAATGACGTTGGGCTACTTTCCAGGTAAGGTCTAAACCTTCGAACGTTTTGCTCTGAAGATCTGAAAGGGCTAGAGTCATGATATTTTGCAAGAAGCATCCAATGATAGAGCTCGACAAAATCTGCGAATGAAATTGACCTTTCCCTACTTTCAAGGTCACAGTTGTCAAATATGTCAAAACATTCAACCGACTTCTTCTGAAGATCTGAAAGGCCTTTATCATGAAAACAAAATATCATGATATCTGGCCAGTTTCATCCCACGATGGAGCCCGACAAAGTCGTGGGATGAAAATGACCTTGACCTACTTTCAAGGTCACATGGGTCAAATAGATATAAACCTTCGAACGACTTCTTCTGAAGATCCGAAAGGCCTGAAGTCATGATGTTTGGCCAGTAGCATCCTATGGTGGAGCCCAACTAAGTTTGGAAATGAAAAAACGTTTGCCTACTTTCACGGTTACAGGGGTAAAATAGGCCAAACCTTCAAACGACTTCTTCTGAAGATCCGTAATGCCTGAAGTCATGATATTTGGCCAGTAGCATCCTATGGTGGATCCCTACTAAGTTTGGTAAAGAAAATGACCTTGACATATTTACAGGGTCACAGGGGTCAATAAGGTCTAAAACTTCGAACGTCTTCTTTTGAAGATCCGAAAGGGCTAAAGTCATGATATTTTGCCAGTACTATCCTATGATGGAGCCCGACTAAGTTTGCGAAATAAGCTGACCTTGTCCTACTTTTAAGGGCACATAGGACAAATAGGTCAAAACGTTCAAACGACTTCTTCTGAAGATCTGAAAGGCCTGAAGTCATGATGTTTGGCAAGTAGCATCCTATGATTGACTCCAACAAAGTTTGGAAATGAAAAAAACGTTTGCCTGCTTTCACGGTTACAGGGGTAAAATAGGCCAAAACCTTCAAACGACTTCTTCTGAAGATCCGTAATGCCTAGAGTCGTGATATTTGGCCAGTAGCATCCTATGGCGGAGCCCAACTAAGTTTGGTAAAGAAAATGACCTTGACATATTTACAGGGTCACAGGTGTCAATAAGGTCTAAAACTTCGAACGTCTTCTTTTGAAGATCCGAAAGGGCTTAAGTCATGATATTTTGCCAGTACTATCCGACTAAGTTTGCAAATGAAAATGACGTTGGGCTACTTTCCAGGTAAGGTCTAAACCTTCGAACGTTTTGCTCTGAAGATCTGAAAGGGCTAGAGTCATGATATTTTGCAAGAAGCATCCAATGATAGAGCTCGACAAAATCTGCGAATGAAATTGACCTTTCCCTACTTTCAAGGTCACAGTTGTCAAATATGTCAAAACATTCAACCGACTTCTTCTGAAGATCTGAAAGGCCTTTATCATGAAAACAAAATATCATGATATCTGGCCAGTTTCATCCCACGATGGAGCCCGACAAAGTCGTGGGATGAAAATGACCTTGACCTACTTTCAAGGTCACATGGGTCAAATAGATATAAACCTTCGAACGACTTCTTCTGAAGATCCGAAAGGCCTGAAGTCATGATGTTTGGCCAGTAGCATCCTATGGTGGAGCCCAACTAAGTTTGGAAATGAAAAAACGTTTGCCTACTTTCACGGTTACAGGGGTAAAATAGGCCAAACCTTCAAACGACTTCTTCTGAAGATCCGTAATGCCTGAAGTCATGATATTTGGCCAGTAGCATCCTATGGTGGATCCCTACTAAGTTTGGTAAAGAAAATGACCTTGACATATTTACAGGGTCACTGGGGTCAATAAGGTCTAAAACTTCGAACGTCTTCTTTTGAAGATCCGAAAGGGCTTAAGTCATGATATTTTGCCAGTACTATCCTATGATGGAGCCCGACTAAGTTTGCGAAATAAGCTGACCTTGTCCTACTTTTAAGGGCACATAGGACAAATAGGTCAAAACGTTCAAACGACTTCTTCTGAAAATCCGAAAGACCTGAAGTCATGATATTTTGCCAGTACTATCCGACAAAGTTTGCAAATGAAAATGACGTTGGCCTACTTTACAGGTAAGGTCTAAACCTTCGAACGTTTTCCTCTGAAGATCTGAAAGGGCTAGAGTCATGATATTTTGCCAGTACTATCCGACAAAGTTTGCAAATGAAAATGACGTTGGCCTACTTAACAGGTAAGGTCTAAACCTTCGAACGTTTTGCTCCTCTGAAAATCTGAAAGGGCTAGAGTCATGATATTTTGCCAGTACTATCCGACAAAAATTGCAAATGTAAATGACGTTGGCCTACTTTCCAGGTAAGGTCTAAACCTTCGAACGTTTTGCTCTGAAGATCTGAAAGGGCTAGAGTTATGATATGTTGCCAGAAGCATCCAATGATAGAGCTCGATAAAGTCTGCGAATGAAATTGACCTTTCCCTACTTTCAAGGTCACAGGGGTCAAAATGGTCAAAACATTCAAACGACTTCTTCTGAAGATCTGAAAGGCCTTTATCATGTAAACAAAATATCATGATATCTGGCCAGTATCATCCTATAATGGAGCCCGACAAAGTCGTGGAATGAAAATGACCTTGACCTACTTTCAAGGTCACATGGGTCAATTAGATATAAACCTTCGAACGACTTCTTCTGAAGATCCGAAAGACCTGAAGTCATGATGTTTGGCAAGTAGCATCCTATAATTGAGCCCCAAAAAGTTTGGAAATGAAAAAAAGTTTGCCTACTTTCACGGTTGCAGGGGAAAAATAGGGATTTCTCGAACAATTCAAGTCGTCAAACTGGACATTTGGAACGGACTATGAATATGGGGATAAGTAACATAAGTGGAAATGCATACAACACATACATTCATTAAAAAATATGGCTCTTTACGTGATGAACTTTAAACAGAAAAACGGTCCATGGTCTGTATCACACTTCACATAGCAACAGTAAACTTCATTTTTGCCGCTTACTTTTCCTAGATAAATCAAACGATTGTTCTCTTATTTTGTGTTAAACTACTTGGTTGTTTCATTACCTGAATGTTTTGAATGGGTTCTTAAATCGTGACATTTAAATGCTATTTGGCTGTTTAATTATTTGTTTAACTCATTTAAAAAGTACGATAATACAAAAACCAAACATGTTTAAGATTATCTAATAACTTTTGTTGTCGCGTTCCAACTTCTCATACCAAGACTGTTTTGCGCATACGTTAGAAGCTCTGAAACAGGGAAATCCTTGAATATAACGTTGGTCAAACAGGTAGAAATCCCGATAATCATCTTAAAATTATTCACCGTTATTCACCGTTATTTTCCATAGGGAGAATCGCTTGATATGTTTATGCAGTATTTGAAAACAAAAACAAAAAAATGTCAAGGTCATATATTAAAAGAAATTATTCAACCTTTGCTCAGCATACAACAGTCCAAATATCATAACCAAATAAGTAATGAAAAGAAGTTGTTCAACTCATTTGACCCTTGTGATCTTCAAAGTAACGAAATGTCATTCATTTCGAAAAATATGGATGGTCCAATACTCAAACACGCCGTCTCCTATACAGATGCATGCATAAATTCAACATATGGAGGCATGTCCTCAACAATGTAAGCTGTTAAGAGAAAGCTCAACCCGATAAAACCAAAAAGTTGTTTACGACAATAACGTTAACCTTGGATCGATTTCCGGTACCATGCTATCAGAACGGCATGCCGCGACTTTGAAACTTTGTCAACGGAGACACGGGGAAATGCGCTTCTAATGCAATAAAGAACCTATTGCTTAAATTGTCTGCTGGATAACTGAACCACTCGGTAGTGAAGCGGACGAAAAAACCTATCAATCAATCTATTGTTTAAATTAATAAAAACACACGTCTTCCTTCTAGAGTAATATTTTCATTGAAATCGGCATGATTTTCTAACATAATGTGTCAATGTTACCATTAATATTTATTAAATGCATGCTAGTTTTCTTATCAGAATTTGTGTTATAAAATGTCGGTAGGCCTTATTATTTCCATTTTAGATAGCTATTAACTAACTTCTATTTCATTTCTTTTTCCATTTAATTATATTTCTCATGAATATTTTATATATACTTTAACCTTTCAAAATGTATTAAAATTACATAAATGTATCAACTCTATAATACTTTTCCCTCTATCCATGGAGCAATTTGTCTTGGTTATTTCACCTAATGATTAAAATATACTACAAAACAAACATACTCACAGGGCATAAAACATAAAGTTGGATAAATGCGAATAGCTTTTTTCAGAAGTTGGATAAATGGGAAGACACCCTTTTAACTACCACACGTGTTTGTTTAGATTAAATTATATGACCGAGCGATGGTCGATCCATTGTTTTCCACTGACAGGGGTAAAGCGAGGTGTGAAAAAATCACCTGGAGTGGATAGGTGATAACCTCGGGCGATGTACAGTCAGCCGGACCTAGTGTCTTATTGTCCACATTGTCACGGACAACTTATATGAGTTTTTGCCTTTTAAAATCCATTCACAGCAGACATGGTTTTAAAATATTGATTCCACCAAATATAATTCCAACGAATTTGTCCCGAAGCAAAAACAACGAAATTAACCCCAACGAAAATATATGCTTTTACAGTATGTGGTTTTGGTTTTGTTGATGCACTGAAATATTAATTTTTAAGGAGAATCAAGTGCAGGGAAAAGCAGTTTCCTGAATTTGCTGTTAGAAAGGAAAGTTCTTCCCCAAAGAGCGGCTCCATGTACCCGTTGTTTCTGCTGCATAAAAAAGGGTCCTAATCTTGAAGCCCACATAACCTCGTTTGGTTGTTCTACACCAAGCAAGATTATCAACGGCAATGACATGACTGATGAAGAGTTTCGAGATGAATTAGAAGGATTGATGAATGCAGATAACTGTTTGCAGGCTCTCGACAGATGCATTGATGTCTTTGTGCCAAGTAACATTTTACAGGTAAAACAGTGTTTTTTTCTGTGATGGTGTTTATGATTGACGGGAGTTGAAACATGTATGTGTATGTAGGAGAAGTTATAAATTATGTTGGAAAAGATTCGACTATGAGCTTGAAATACATTGCAGTTAACTTTTCATTCAGTATAATTTCTGCCTATAACTTGTACTTATCCAGAGGATCATTGTTTTAACCTCATATGTTTTATTTAAATTCTCTCCGCATCCTGGTGTTGTAAATGTACTGTGCTTTTCTGTTTATGTCGTCGATAAAAAGAGTGGTCGTTTCTCTGAAAATTTAAAACTCTAAAAATGCGCACTGTTTGTATCACTTCCTTGTCCTGGATCTATTATATGTTCATGTATATATATATCTATTTCAGGACAAAGTGTACCTTGTTGATTCAGCTGGATTTGGTGAAAGTGAACAAATTACGAGGTCGCTGGTGAAGTATCTTCCTAAGGCTATAGGGATCATCTTTATTCTAAACTCAACAGTCGGTCTTGGGATATCTGAGGACAGAGTAAGTAGTATGTACTAATACACCGGCAAGTTTTCAAACGTGGAGCGGCTTTTTTAATCGGATACATTGCTATTAAAAACAACCCTTATCAAATCATGGAAATAGTTCGAGGAAAACAAAACCATTTCGAATGTAGACATGCCTACAGAACAGCTTATGTCAAGAATGTTTTGTTTTAAATAAGTTCCCCTATAGCTTTACGATAGATGGTATTCTTTTCGCAAATCTTTACATTTAAAAGGATGGGTGCCAATTTGGTCCTTCAGGTGGCTATCGCCGATAAGTTTCATTTTATTGTATATGCATACCTTGGGGTTATGCCATCAAGATATGACATAAAATCAAGGTCATCTTAGAGACAATTCCGAGATATGAGGGGTTAATTTGGGGGATCAAGTCACAAATATTCTCTTTTTTTGACAAAACTCTATATACAATTGCTTGGCATGAAGAGGTCAATTTGTTAACATTGTGTATGCGTGCATAGTAAGTTCATGTATATCTACCTACGTTTCGATTATGGTAGTTTCAAAACATTTTTGGTACACGTACGTGATATTTCCATTACTGTTAGATAAATAGATAACCATGTAAATCTGGCTGAAATATGGCAACATACTTAAATCATGAAAGAATATAAGTTTAAATACGAAATCTTAATTAATTACAGGCCATTTCTTAAAATATATCATCCACGATACCTATCGAACAAATGTGCGGTAGCTAGAGCTAGATTTGCGCACGCTATAATGGTTCAATGAATTACCTTGGCACATATGTTAAATGTTGAAACAACTTCTTTTCAATAACCAAAAGTCTAATGGTTGTGATATTTGGCCAGTGTCATCGGATCAAACTTTATTCAAATGACTTTGACATTCTTTCAGGAACACAGGAGACAAATGATCCAAAAAATTAATACATCTATCCGGGGTGGTGCTGATTGGCCTTTTGCCCATTTTATGTAATCGACCTTGGCCACTTTAAAGGTGACCGATTGAACGTCTAGATTTACTATGAAAGCAGGTAAACTGCTTTAAGAACAAATAAAATGTAGTACAAAATAATGATGCAAATTATATTAATTTTCATTTGATAGAAGTATGCGTATAAAAGTTATTTTAACACATAACTTATTTACTTGTGATAGCTATACTGTTCCTCAACAATCGTGTACAGCAACTATTATGATAAGCGGGGTCCAACCTTTGACCAAATCATAATAAACGATTTTTTTCTGCTTAGTTCAAGAAGAAAAAAAACATTACATAGGGAAAATATCATCATAAGCGATATATCATAAGTGGGTCCACTACAGTGACAAAAATATCCGTACTTGGTCACCCATCCTGAAGGGGTTGTTCTATCCTGTTAATTTTCCTGAGCTTATTGCTCTACTGATATTGGTGAAGACAGTAAATATTAAATAACAATGCATTTGAAATACTACTTTAACGCAATATGTCGGTAATTACTAACCGTTGGTATTTTCCTGTTAATGTTGTATTGCCCCCTGTGTGAACTATTATTTTACATGTATCCTGTGCATTATTGTCATCTGTGTGTGTATTATTATATATATGCATAAAACAATAAACAGTATTAATAGTTAATCAGTCAAACTGTCATATGTTATTCCCTATTTGCAAGGGTGCTTTAATACTTGATGAAATCAAGCTGTTGGCAAAAAAGGGGGATATCCCATCATTTGACCCCAGACAAGTCGTATTTATCGCCAACAAATGGGATCAAATCGACAAGACAGAAAGGAAAGACCATCAAAAGAAAATGATCAAGAAATTGGAGACATCATGGCCAAACTTTCAGGAAGACCAATTGCTGCCGCTAAGCGTAAACTATGTAAGTTGAAATAAGACTTCAAAATATATGTTATTGTGTTTATATAAGAATATGAAAACTGCTATAACTGATTGGGTCGGGCCTCTCATAACTGAAGCTTATGTGAAGGCTTCGTTTTGATAAGAGGTAGAATATTGAAATGGTCTTACGTTTAAATATTTCACTGGCACAAAAAAAAAAAAACACCTTCATAGGCTGATCGAATTACAATCACAATATTATATGAAATGAGTTTCTCCAAAGTATAATACTAAAGTTTACCCCGGGTGATTTGCTATATAATGCTATAAAAATACGTCATATTATACAACATAAAGGTGCAAAAGTGCGATGGCCTCCGTTTCCAAAATGTTGCGATTTATTTCTGAAAAATACGCAATTGCCTCAGTGGCGATCGCCTCGATATGGGTAGCCCTATTGACCTCAAAATTTCAACGCTTTCAAAACATAGCATTATTGGGAAGCTGCGAGTGTGTGTTTGATTTACGAATTATTCAACTGTTTTTATGATATGTCTGTCTTCACTTTCGGTATAAGTACCCTTTATACCTATAAGAAAATTCCTAAATATATATAAACAACTATTCACAATTTAGGTGATGAAATGAGTTCAAATCAATGACTTTTTAATTATTCAATTAGTTCCTATACACAACACAAAGAGATTGATTAAAATAAGCGATACCCCCTTCATCCAATCCTCTACAATATTGTCATATATGATTGAAATTGACAAAAATGCATTGTAACAATACAGTTGTTACGGAAAACTAAATCTGTTTACATTAAAATTAGCATAGCTAGACGGAAATTAAATGTACAAAATTGTCAATATAGTTTTAATTTTAAAAGTAAAAACTGAAGATTTAGTGTAATTAATAAATCAACCGCAAACTCACGAAAACATTGTTTTGTCAATACGATGCACACCTAGTGGACGTCATGTTGGAAAACGGCAGGTTCAGGAAAATATCACCTTAAAATCACCTTATTAGCCAAATGAGACATTGTTTTATGGACAAATTACGTTGTATTGCTTGTGGAAAACTCAGTGCCCTGTTAAGTAAAAGTTGTTTACAAATATGAGCGAGCATTTTCCGAACTGTGTTTTTGTGTCATTAGCGGATCAGTGTTTCGTTGTACGCACGCGTAAGAACAAAACTGAACGTGCACACGATTTCCAAAATTTGAATAGCAGAAGAAGAAAAAATTGTGATCCAGATCAAAACAACAGGTAATTGCGTAGTTGCACAAAATCACCCTTTATTCGCCCCAATATGATAACATGCCACATGAGTATTTTGATACCAAAAATAGCATGTTTACTTTACAAAAAGCATGGCAAACTTGCTACTTTACCTTGAATCGGGCCATTAATCCTCAAATCCATATGGTCATTGATCAAAACATGACTCCAAAAGAATATCATTAACCTCCAAACGAGTACCGTATAATAAAACCATCATTTTTGTAAACAATCGCCCTTACATGGCAAGCACATCGGCGTGTCAAACGCTCCCTGAATGAAAAGTTGACTGGGTGTGACGTAGAGATGTGACGTCGCTAAACCCAGGGGTCATCTCGGAATGTTCTCTCATTAGTATGACACTATAGATGGACACCGATACACTCTCAACCATATTAAAATTGTGAACATTATTGCAAACTATGGTAAAAAAGAACATGCATAATATTGAATATTAATTCCTTTTGTTGGCTTAACATAATTCCTTTTGTTGGCTTAACAGAATGTATTTTTTCCGGGTGTGTGTGTCTCATTCATGTTGCAGGGGTTTGGGTTGGTGTACCAGCACTTTCATAGCAAAACTGTAGGCGCGAAGAATCTGTTTGCTTGGTCTCAGGTAAAAATACTGACTAATCGCTAGGCTGATACACCAGCGTGAAGTTGGTTACTTATTCAATATTGGGCTAGCCCAATATTGGACTGGACCAATGTTGGGCTGGCGCAATATTGTGCTAGTTTGATAATCAAATGTACCTAACATAATAGGTCTTATGCCGCTTTTTCACACCTATACCACAACTGGGCATCTTCTAATGTATCCACATGCAAAACGGCATCAACGATACCCCAGGCTAAAGAAGCCCACTGGGCATCATATCGAATTTCAGTACATAATCGATAATTTTTCGTTTTCAACAAGCCACGGCATATTGTTATAGGTCTTATGCCGCTTTTTCACACCTATACCACAACTGGGCATCTTCTAAGGTATCCACGTGCAAAACGGTATCAACGATACCCCAGGCTAAGTATGCCCACTGTGTCTCACATGACGCATTCTTTAACAATATTTGTGTAACACACTTCTTCTTATTTATGACTTGCGCAAGTCTAAAATGTCTTGGTTATATCACATAGATTGCTACGCACTCGTATTTTAAATAGAATGAATAGTCTGCATTTCTACTGCAGCAGGAAAATCAGCATTTTTTTCCAGCATAGTAAACCGAACCAATATAAATTGAATGTCAGCTTCCATTCATCATATTGGTGTAATTATACTTATATTAACGGGACTATTTCTGCAAATTACGAACTACCTTCGTATACAACACCACCGCCGATTGACTGCCTATATTTATCCATTGTTTCTCTGACGTCATTTCGTACTCTGGGAATCCCCATCTACAGTCAGGTACTGTAGACTTGCCCAAGTGCATGCCTGATACTTTGCAGAATTGAATTATCAGTGACAATTACCATGGCAGGTTTTTTTCCTTCTCCAGCGGATGTGCTCTTTAGAAATCTACAGACCTATGATGAACTGATTATGTAAATGATAAATGATGTAAATATCCTAGTTATTTCCGCACCCCATCCCGCTCGTCAATTGATCTAACTCCCCAATTTCTTTATTTTCCTGAATGAAACGGTTCCTACATATGTAGCTTAGGTTATTTTTCACTTTGACAATCATACCTTTATGTGTATAAGGACGTCAGTTACTTCACTTAGTTAATTATTTATCGTAACTTTACTATTGATGTTATCAATTTTTATCGCTGTTATAAAAAACTCAATCAGTTCTCTAGGTGCGATTTTTTTTATCATCAAATTGTAGCGACCGCCCGAACATCTTCATTGGTACGCATGCGTACGAGAGGATTACAGAATTACTTGCCATATGTTACACTTTTGTCGACCGGAACTAAAACTCCAAGGAATGACAGTTTCAACATATACACTTACATATGAACAGATCCCGTCATAGGAGGCAAATTTCCCCTTCCAGACATCATGACAAAATGTTCGTTTTAGCGAGTCAATCACTGTAACTTATCATTTAAATACTAATTAGGGGCATTTCCAAGATCTATCGCGGTCATGTCATATGATGATGACATGAATAGCTGCAAAGAATCGATCTATCGCGTTCCTTAGTGATCTGATCCTCTAAGTTCTGTTTACGCTGATCAGATTTTACCTGTGCACTATAGAAAATACAAACAAGCATAGCCAAGTGTTCTCGTACAATGAAAAATAAAAATAAATTATAACATCGTTTGAGGAAAAGCTATTTTATTTTGCATTGGTTTATTACAAATACCACTGAAAATAATATTTACGGTTTTTATAACGTTTTGTATTTATATGTAGCAAACATTTCAATACAAAATACGATGCAGAAAGGAGGTGTTACATAGGAGGTGAAAATCGGCCCACGATAATTTTTGAATGTTTTCGTGTAAATCAATTAATTTGAACAACTGAAAAACAAGGCTTAAACTTCATCTCGACAGCAAGTTTGACTGCAGCGAATTTTACTTCCCCATGTGACTTTAATAGGATCAGTGTGTCAATAATAAAATCATAATTGCAAACTGCTTGCACATTTAAGTAACATTAACAATCACCTTTGAAATGATATATAACAATTGGCCATATGTTATACCAATTTTTCGCAAATAACCATAAACATGTAAATCTGCTCCCATAAAATGACTTTTCAATTTTTGACTGTTTTGTTTTTGTAACAGTATTAACAAGATAAAACTCGGGTTCCATCAAACTTCCACACTTACAATTTTCTTTAATAATTCATCTTTTAATCATATAAAACTTGTGTCGATGGTTCACGGGAAATGCCCACTTTTTGGAACTTCTTTTCCACTTCCCTTTTTGGTTTTCATCAAATATCAAAGTACTGGAAGTACTGAATCAGTTCTGCCATCTGAACTTAAAAATGTTGTATTGATTAATTAATTGCACTATGCTCCAAAACTAAAATTAACGTTTATGTACATGGAATTAGACTGTAGCGCCTAATTTTTTATGCATTTTCATTGAAAATCCATCAATATCGATTTTCATATTAATCCTTTGCGAAATCCTTTTTTTTAATTTTATTTCAGTTTTATTTTATTTGAAAATGTGATCTGCAGTATGCATATGCGATGTACTGCATGTGTTTATCGCATGAAAACCCACAATAACTGAATGATACACTTTTGTCAATTATAGTAATAATTCATACTGTTATATTGTTGTTGCAGACAAAACGTAGACCAGACTTATCATTTTAATCAATTAACCATCCTTACATAATTTAGTAAAAAAAAAGACTCACAGACCCTACAAGTGACAGGAGATATATAGTTTCTTGTTTGGAGAGCTGAAATGTATAATGCTGTATTCACAGCGAGATATACACATAAGGAATAGCCAACTGACACAAATATACAGCTTGTATAGCAAGTGATCGCCGGGAAATCACAGTCTTTGTCTACTGGTTATGAAATTATTATTGATTATGGAATTTCAAATATTCCTTTAGCTTTACAATCTTGAAAAATCATTATTTGCACAAGCATGATAGCCTGCCACTATCTAAATCATAACACTATGCTCTAAAACTGTGACATTGAACGTAGACCCTGCATTCACACGGTCAATTGAAAATTGAATGATTGGGAACAAATCTTAGGTAGGGCAACCTTCTTTGATTTCAGATAGTCTTGAGAAACAACATATGATTTCGAAAATTATTTTAAACACTAATAAAACTTTTGATTTCAATTGACCCCATGTTTTTAAGAAGTCGAATATATTCAATTTTTGAAGGTTTGTGTGAAGCAGAGCCTAAGTAGATGTTGCTACATTGCATATTTTAAGTTCATTGTACCATCAAGATTAAATGTCATATGAGGATGTTTAGCAGAAATGCCACTTAACTTGTCAAGCGGTAAATGAGCAAATGTTACAGAGAAGACTATGCAATATAAGGACTTTGGTATGTTCCAAACTTAAAGCAACAACAATATTTAGTTTGATAGATAACCGTTAGTTAGCCTTACTTGCTAATATCGCATTAGTCTGGGCACTTCGCATCCCCCCTTTGATAGACCAAAACCAAATTGTAGTTTAGACTTAAAACCAATAAAGGTAAAGAAACTGTTAACTTAATAAAATATCTTCGGGAAGGGAAAACTACAGAATTCCCCGAAAAGGTAAGCATCTTCTATTTTGTGTCAAACCAATTTAATGTAGCATTTTGGCGTAGTGAAACTTTAACCATATGGGGAAAACTAAGAAGCATTAAAAAAAAGAACAAAATGGGCGATATTAATATTGATAATTATCATCCTCCATGATTCAGCATGACTAGGTATGATTTATTACTATTAAGAAGGATTATTGCTTTAGAATTTTCCAGCTTTTAAATCTTGTCTGGTGATTTCGGATTTCCGTCCTGAAGACATGCAAGCTTTACTATTATGACCAAGTAGTGCTT